CTCCTGGGACTAAATATGCTTCCCTTTAAGAAACCAATTAAGAAACCTTTCATGAAAGGCACTTAAAGAAACCTTTGAGAAAACACTGTATCATCCCATAGGTTTGGGGTTACCTTCCCAAGATAATTTTTTTGTCTTTTGCCTTCCCAGCTTGCTGAGGCTTCTTAGTGATGTCGACCAGGCTGTGACAGGTTCTTTGTGACTCTAATGAAACATGCTGCACCCTAGCAACAGTCCATAATGGAAAATTCATTAATTAAAGAATGACCTGTCCCATAGCCCACACTTAGACTTGAGTCATGTGATTATCTAATTTTCAGGTCAGATCACATCTGTAATTCTTACTAAGGCAGCTAGCTACTCCATTTGATTAGATTTTGTATTTCTGTGGCTCTTAATATATGTAAATGTCTTTTTAGTTTAATATGACATACTTTTGAACTTGTGTACCTCCCATTTCTTGGAATTATATAAAATATCTGAATGAATTCTGGATATCACCCAGCTTCCCTGATTATTTGGTTACAGCTTCCAAAATTATCCTACTGTCATGAAGCAGGCACCTTTGTCTGCTGTTGGCATTTGTTTTTCAGGAATTCTTGTTAGGTAGAACATTTAGAGATCATGTCATCCATGCACATGTCTTGTCTCCTTGGAGGAGGTTCAGCTTGGCTTTTGAGCCTTATTTTATTTTTAAAAGAGAGCTTAATCTAGGTTTTCCAAGGGAGCTCAAACCAACACAAATAATCTAAAAGAGACTGTGTTGAGAATTTTCAATCCCACTAACTCATTTTTATCTCCCAAAAAAATCTCTTCCAAAATTTTATATTATCTTTCTTTATATTATTTTCATTACATTTTTTTCCCTTTTCCATGATGTAATTTCCTTTCCTGACTGTGAGGAATTGATACTTTAGTGTTTTCATTGGCCCCACCAATCTTACTGATCCTTGACAAGGAAAGATCACCATCCTCTTTGGTATCATTCATTCCAGGGTCTCTCTGCTGACACAGCTAAAGCATTATTATTATTATTATTATTATTATTTTAATTTAAATTTGCTTCAGAGGAGGGTTCTAAGTGCTAACATAGCACAGTCCCTTATAAACTCTTCTGATTGTTAGGAAGCCCACTAATCCTTATAGGATAAATTAATCTCTTTATTTTTTAATTTTTAAAAATATATTTATTACGCAATATATGTCAATTGAGCTCAATTCTATTAGGCTTTCCTCTTTGAGTGTTCTCTCCTAGACTGTTTCTAATGTGTCTGTGTGTTACAGTTGCTGGGCATAGGATCAGGTTTAGCTCTCTGATGTGTTCCTAAAACAGAATCAGAGTGAGTCTATGCTGAAGACCTTTGAGCATCGCTGCATACATCAGTAATCTCCTCCACAAAACGCAGTATTGTGTAACTGAAGATCCCTAAGCAGCCCTCTTCAGGCCTTTAATAATACAGGGCGTCTACGATAATTAGTGGAGAGCACCGCCGTCTGCCTGGAGACACAGACGCTCGGTAATTGGCTGGGCTTATAACCACACAAGCAACCTGTCCGTGCATATCTGCCTTGCAGAGTAATTCAAAATTGTGTTTCAGGAAAGTGACGAATTATTGCACATCAAGGACTCACGGACATCTCAATCACAATGATAAATCTTTGTGTCCCAAGAGCCTGCTGTGTCATCCTGGGATTACCATGGGCTTGCCATATTCTATTTTGCAAATACTTTTGGCCACAGCTCCTTGTCACTAAAGTGGAATGTTAGATCCTTGAGGCTGGTGAGGCTGTATCTTCTCTGTGTGTCTATTCTTCCCCGAGGAGAAGGCAAGGGGCCTGGGGAGTTTCTTCATTTTAAGATAATAGGGATTGACACCAGTTCTCCTTTTTTCCCCCTAAAATATTCCAAAGTGAAATCAAGGGTGGCAGAGAGAGGCGGAGGTGATCTTTGGATGTGGCCGCCTCTGCCTCCCACACATTGTGGACATGACTATGGACATGTGCTTGGAAGTGCTACTTGCACTCAAATCAGGGCCTGATTCTGGGGACTAGAGCTCGGATGATGGGACACTGGTCTTGACCCGTGCTTTCTGCTGTTGATGATGAGTCTAGTTTTGGCAAACTCCTCCTAGTTCATTAACCATATGCTTACACTCACATTTAAATCATCGGTGAGGCTCTAAAAGCTGTCTAAACAGCAGACTCACCAGCTGGAGACATAATAATCATAAGTGTGAATATCTGTGGTGCTTTTCCTGCTGCTTCCACGTTCGTGGTTCATTGGGGCCTGTGCTAGCCCTGTGAGATAGGGATACGGCTGGTGTTTTACGCACTTTGTACACATGAAGAGTCAGCTCTGTGTGGAGGGATGAGTAGGGGCTTTGTGGCCAGGCAGATCTGACTCTGTCACCAACAGCCAGGAGAACTTGCACCTGTTCCCTCACTTCCCTTGGCCTCCATCTCTTCTTTTGCTTCAGGTGGAAAGCTGCCTCGCTTCGTGTCCCCTCTAGGAGTCTACTACATATGCAATGTTAGGTCCAAAATTTAGGTTGGGCGTGCTTTGTGGCACCAGCTGCAACTTTTAGGTTCTCCTACTTTTAGGTTGTTCATGAAACTAGAAATGTCGCCCCTGCTTGATTTTTCCTCAGCCGAGTTCGTGCCCTGCTTCCTGTCCTTTGTACTTTCAGTGTGAGCAGAATATGCATTATTCAAGCAAAAATAAATAAAAGTAAAATGCAAATCAAAAAAATTTTCAGGGGCCAGCCCTGTGGCATAGTGGTTAAGTTCGCATGCTCTGCTTCAGTGGCCTGGGGTTCGCAGGTTCGGATCTTGGGTGTGAACATACACACCGCTTATCAAGCCGTGCTGTGGTGGCATCCCATACAAGGTGGAGGAAGATGGGCATGAATGTTAGCCCAGAGCCAAGCTTCCTCAGCAAAAAAAGAGGAGGATTGGCAACAGAAGTTGGCTCAGGGCTAATCTTCCTCAAAAAAAAACAACAACTTCAAAATGGAAAAAATAATAGCTGCTTTAAAATATACTTGTGGAAACTCAATGAGATAATGTCCATAAACCGGGGTTCCTACCACATCAGCTTTTGGGGAAGGTGAAGGATTTGCTCAGAGAAACACAAGAAGAGACCCAGACTCACACGTAGGTATTCTGAGTCTCAGGCCAGGATTCTTCCTGCTCCACCATGTGGTTTTTCCAGGATGGAGACAACAGCTGCATTTTGAGCATTGGACCTGTTAAGAGATGGGGTATTTTTCATTCTAAGTTTAACTTAACATTTTTAAAATGTAAAGTTCCATGTTTTCCAATCATGCCTGCCAGAAGCAGCGTTGCTGAATTAAAGGTAAAAGGAATTTGTAGTTTTGATAAATATTTCCAGATTGCCTCTCTAGGGTTGACATTCCCACGTGCCAGCAATGGAGGAGGGAGGCTACTCACCTCGTCAGTGGAGTGTGGACTAATTGTCAAACTTATGGACTTTTGCCATTCTGATAGGTGAGAAATTGTACGAGTGCAGTTTCCATTTGTTTTCTTAGGAATAAAGTTTAGCATCTTTTCTTACATTTAAGAATCATTGGTATTTGTGTGTGTGTGTGTGAGATGTATTCACATCCTTACTTATTTTTCTTCTCAATTTTTAGTGGCTCTTTATATATTTGATCAATAAGCCATTTGTCTTTTATACAAGTGGCAAACATTTTTCCAAATTTGTCACTCATTTGTCTTTGACTTTGCTTCTGGTGGTGATGTTAGTTGCTGGTGTGTGTGTGTATTGTACCCTGCAGAAGTTCATTTTATGTATTTAGGACTCATCACTGTACAGAAGTCAGTGGATGGGCCCTCTTCTGGGAATCTGGCCTTCAGGCTTTGCTGCCAGAAAGCCATCCGAGTTCTTGCTGATGTCCATTTTTAGAGGACTTTTACTCATATTAAACATTCTCATCTCTGAATTTCTCCTATACACTTTTTTACACTAATTGATATCACTTCACGGTTCATCAATTTTATGCTCCCTGGTGGTATCTGCTGCTTTTCAGATTTTGGTTTTGTCTGTTCACTTAGATTGTTGACTCCTGGAAAGCAGAGGCCTTGCCTCACACATCAGTATCTCCCACTGTGCCCCGCACTGTGCTGGGCAGTTACTGTGAGTTCAACAGGCACTTATTAAAGAATTAGCCGCCCCATGCTCTAGCAAGCCATGGGGGAGCTCGGGATGTCACAAGGGGGATAATTGAAAGCTCCATCTCCTTCCTAGCCCAGGTGCCCCTTCTGCAGCAGATCCCAGGCTGTGCCCCTTGGATGGGACAGGCCATGGGGATGGCACTAGATCTAATGACAGCTGACAGAGTTCCGCCAGCTTGGCCTTTCTCAGGCTCATCTTTACTCCTCCTAAGACCTCCAACAACCACTCCCGTCCTGGGAGAGATTGGGAAGCAACTCATCAGAAACCTCCCTTCTTCGTCGTAGCTCAGAGGTTTGAAGGTAGCTGGTTGAAGGAGGAAGAATGAAACAGGCCAGGAATTCAAAAGCCATTGGTTTTAATGGGGGCGAGAGGGCGGGGAAGAAATCTGGTGACAGGATGGTGAGCAATGAGTCACCTTGTCTTCCTGCTTTGGCGGGGGAAGATGTGCGGAGAGGAGAGGAGCCTTGAGCATCCTCTTCTCAGATGTGGGGTCACCAGGGATAAGCGTGGAGAGCAGGAATGCATGACCTTTGCCTCTCATCATGGGGAAGGAGAAAGGAGACACAGAAAATAGGGAGAGACATTGAAGGCCTCGTATCTATGAAGATGGTTCAACACTGCACTTCCGTGTATATGTACGGAGGAGGAGGGAGCTGGGCTCGAGGCAGAAAAGTGTCAGAGGGGATGAGCAGTGAAGCAGCCTATAGCCCTCAAAGTACAAACCAGCTGGATGGGCAAACCGTTGGTCTCCCCTCACCCTCCACCCTGACCTCTGTCCCTGACAGGCTGCCCCTGCTGGCCTCTGCTTCTACTTCTTCCGCCCAATCTGTGCCATCAGGTGGGCATTGGCAGCTGCCTTGGCTCGCAAGTTCTTGGCCTTGGCAATGTCGAAGAGGATGTTCATGATGTTAGTGGGGACGTCGAGGGACAGAGTGAACTTGGTGCGCCGGTCACTCTTGGCCTTGTCCTGGTACAGCTTCCCCCCGAGCTGTGCCTGGGACAGATATTTGTACCGAGTGCTTCCAGCTCCACCGCCAACCCCAGAGCCAAGGAAGGTCCTTTTCTCCTTGTCCTCTTCCTCCTCCTCTTTCTCCTCGTCCTCTCCTGACGAGGGGTCTTGGCTGGGCAGGTAGGGGAAGCTTCTCTTGCTCAGCAGGGGTGCATCCTCCAGCTGGCTCTTCTTGGCCTCAGACAGGGCTGTGTTGATGCAGCTGAAGATAGACTCAGCTTTGTAGAACTTATGGGAGAGGCCTGTCCTGGGGGCCCCTAGGAGCAGCAGCAGTAGCAGCAGGAAGTGGGCTGGCAGCAGCATCTCTCCCTGTAGTAGAAAAGAAGGATGTGGGAAGGGGTGTGAGAAGGGCTTAGGGCTCAGACTAAAATCCTGTAGGGCCTTGTCAATGTTGTACTACAACAGTTCTCAAAGTGTGGTCCCCAGACCAGCAGCAGCAGCAGCATCTGGAAATTTGTTAGAAATGCAAGTAATTCTCAGGTCTTGCCCCAGAACTAGTAAATCTAAAACTCTGGGGCCAGCAATCTGTGTTTTTAACAAACCGTTCGGATGATTCTGATGATCACTAAGTTTGAGAACCATTACTCTACTAGTATTGATGAGTTTTATTTAATTCAGGCTTGCAGGGAATCACTGGCCCTGGACAATGAATAACGAATATACTAAGTAAGCATTTAGTAGCCTAATTTGGTTGATGTTAGCGTTCCAAGTGACTTTTAGATCTCTCATCATTAGTGAGCCTGATTCATTACATCCGTATTGCTTCAAGACCATGGCTGGTGGTCCAGTCAGTATTTCTGAGGCAGATCGTCAAGACTCGGCCCCTTCTCGGCTATCATAGTTTCAGAGGAGCAATCGAGTTTGTTATTTTGGTTGGTTTTACTATAGAATGAAGTGGAAGTCAATTTGGTCTCTATGTGAGACTCGAAGTATCTTGCAAAGAACACCTACCTTCTCTAGTGTTTAGGACTGGTGGAACCTCAATCCTAAAACTATCAGTTACCTCTGATATCTGTGTGTTTTTGGTTATCAGTCAGACTGAATGAGAGTGATTGTCTGAGATTCAATCCGGGGACACTGATGTTCAAGGACGTGCTTTACTGGAAGTGGATCAATACCTTCTTTAGGTGCCTGTTCATTGGCATTTCCAAATGCAGGGTAGGTTGTGCAATGTCCAGGGCTAGAAAGAGATACTGAGAGACATGAAAGGATCATAGTCTATAGTGACCATTTGAATCTATTCTTCTATTTAAAAAAAGAAAAAGAAAAAATCTAAACCTTAGTGTATAAAGTGTGTTGTGGTATCGAAAACATCCAGATCAGTGGCCCTCCAATAACTGGGACTGTTCAGGCTTTAAGCCACCATAGTTACCGGCCCACTGATCAACAGGGCATGACAAGACTTTAAATTGCTTTTCAGCAGGTGAGAAGGGCTCTGCTGAGCCATTCACACCCTTCTGCCCAGTCTCCTTTGCAGGAACGGCTCACAATTGTGTCAGAAGGTAGTCAGAACTGGGGTGTCTGTGGTCACTGTGCCTTAGCAAAATTGTGAGTGAGCAGAATTTAACTCTCGTGTCCTTGGACTCAGCCCACCTCGCACCCCGGTCCCCTTTGCCTATTCTGTGGACACACACTCTCTCCAGCTCTGAAATGAGGACAGAAATTTCATTTACATCCCTGTCACCCTTCATTGTGCATGAGAAAAAAATGTAAGGTCCATATATTTGGGGTTTTATCTCATTCCCTCCTGGAGTAAGCACAACTGGCTCTTCTGCCTGCTCCCACGTGCTGATACCCTGACATACTCTTGTTCTCCAGTTGCGTTGTTAGAATGAACCATCCCCGGACTATCCTAGGAGACACAGATAGTGAAAGCTGAACTGCTCCCATCTGGGTGCTTTACGTGAACTTGGAGTTTATGTCATTATCTGTCAAAGATGCTCTTGGGGGCTGGCCCCATGGCTTAGCGGTTAAGTGCACACGCTCCGCTACTGGTGGCCCGGGTTCGGATCCTGGGAATGCACCAACGCACCACTTGTCTGGCCATGCTGAGGCGGCATCCCACATACAGCAACTAGAAGAACGTGCAACTATGACATACAGCTATCTACTGGGGCTTTGGGGAGAAAATGGGAAAAAAAAACGAGGAGGATTGGCAATAGATGTTAGCTCAGGGCTGGTCTTCCTCAGCAAAAAGAGGAGGATTGGCATGGATGTTAGCTCAGGGCTGATCTTCCTCTCACACACACACACACACAAAAAGACATCCTTGGCCTCTGCCAAAGGAAGCAAGAAAGATGTGGTTAGCTATGGAACTCGGGAGAATTCTTTTATTAAGGTAGTTTTAATAAGTCAGAAAAATTGGACAAGTAAATCAACGTAGGATTCTTCTGGGCTTTAAGCAGTGCTAGGCTAGCATAAGGATCATTTTGTTTCTGCGGTGACAGTGTGGAGTAGAGGCAGGGAGGGGCTGGCAGTCAGGCTGAGTTCTGGCCTCAGCTCTGCAGCTGATTGTCAACATAACCTTGAGCAGGTCATTTCCCATGAAATGAGTGGGAATGAACTCAAGTCCCCTTCCAAACTTCTTTACACTGTGAACAGATGGACTAGAATTAACCCTTAAAAAAACCTTGAGCCTGGTTCTCTTTCTAAAGAAGAATCACGTAAATCCTTGCTCTTTCGCTTACCCTGGACACACACACACGCACCCCAACCTGGCAAATTTTCTGTAGAAACCTGTTGTGTTCCTAGGCACACTCCACATTGCATCTTCTGCCTTCCTTTTCTTTCTTTCTTTTTTTAAGAAGCCAGGTTGTTTTGTTGGTTTGTTCACTTGATTTGTATTGTAAAGTTTTGGAGCTTATTTTATCTAACAGTTAAAAAATACGTGATCCTTGCTTTAAATGATCCGGATGTGTGAACTAGTTTCATGTGGGCATGTAGCGCTGCGCAGTGAAGGCAGCGCAGAAGGGAGTTAGACGGACGTGGGTTCAGACTCCATCTTTGTTCTTACTCACCCGAGCGCCTTGGGCAGGTTACTGAACTTCTGTGAATTTCAATTTCCTCATCTGTGAAATGGGGACAACAGTCCCTCATAAAGGTTAAGTGCAAGTTAACCTTTTTTCCTCATAACGGTTAGGAAAATTTAGCTTTTCCTAAATTAAAAAAGAAAAGCTTTTGGTCTAACTAGCTACTTAATAAAGAAGGCTGGTTCATATCTGTTTATACATAAATAATCCCCACGTCCTAGCAGGATAAGATTCAGTTCACACACAACCATTTCAGAAGTGATATCTCTATATCTATATCTATATCATCTATATCTACATCGATATCTATATCTGTATCTATATCTATGTCTACGTCTACATCTATATCTGCCAGGTAATTTGATCCAGTAATTTGATCCTGCAGGCCAATAGCCTTCTTGTGTTGTATTTCTGGCTTTTATTTTTGGCTATATACTACCCTCTCCATCCTAACCCAGGCAGGCTCTTCTTGCCTTGAACTCAGTCTACGTAAGAGCTTCTCCAACTTCAGAGCGCTTCAGAATCATGTGAAGGGACTGCTCAAACACAGACTGCTGGGCCCCATCCCGAGAGTTTCCGAATCAGTAGGTTTGGGATGAGGCCTGAGAAGTTGCATTTCTAATACATCCTAGAGGATGCTGATGCTGCGGGTCCATGGACCACACTTTGAGAACCACCTTTCTCAGTATTCCAATCCTTCTCTGAGCTCCTTAGAATTGTATGCCAAATTCCAGAGAACATTTTACAGGGGTGTGTTGACTGTCTCTGTGGAAAAATGGACTTATTCTTTCTTTAAATATCATGTTCAATAACCAGACTTTGGGCTTTGTCACTTACAGAGGATCCAGTTAGTAGTTTCTGATAAATATAGTATGAATCATGGTTTTAGCTGCCTTACACCTTGGAGGCATCTTAAAGCTTGGGAGCAATTTCAAAGGATTTGTTAAGCCTGAAAGGATTTAAAAAACTAAAAACCAATTCATGGAGAAAGGGTTAATACCGATGGGAGAGTTGTGGAGAAACCTCCTCTCTGTCGCTTGATCCCTTTGTCCACTGCTCCTGTCACAGACCAGACTTGAATGCTCTGGGTCCAATATTTCCATATGTGAGATCAAAGGATTGAGTTTGAGATTCTCTCTTTCTTTTGTTTAGCTTTGTTTGGGGTGTGCAGGGTAAAAGAAAAACTTTCCACAAAGGTGAGACATCCTTTGCTCCTCACTAATTCCCTAGCAGGTTTCTCCTCTGACATTCTTTGAATTCTTTTGCCATCACTGTAGTGAAACAACACAGAGGTTTATGATGTCCCTGCCACCTGCTGTGAAAATGAGTGACCCCCATCTAGTTGGATTGAAGGGGTAAAGCTCTAGTTTTTTCTCATCAGGATACCTGAAAATCCGCTATTCTTTTGGGTTGTAATGGCAGTACTTCTCCAGGGGCTTTAAAGACACACACTCCTTCAAAGAGCTGTGAGAGTCACGCCCTAGGATGGAGGCAGTGAGGGAACTGGCCAGGCTGACATTCAGGGCACCCACGAGGGAGAGAACTCAAAGGGAGGAAGAGCGGGTGGTGAAGCCAGAAGGCAAACGTGCTGACCCCACAGCTCTGCCCAGTGCCTGCCCCATTTTCCAGCAGCGAGGAAGGCAGTCATTCCCCATTTTACCCATTCCATCTGCAAACACTGGTAAAAAGTTGAATAGAAAAACATTTTATAAACCGTGGCTGCAGAACCCAGGGAATCATTAAGCATTTCAAAAGGTATTATAGTAAGGAGCTGTTTTCCTTTTTTTCAACTCGTGGAAGTGTTATGTGTAACACATGCATGCACAGACTGCTGAGCAATTCACCCTCAAAGTGAGCAGTGAGGTTTATACATGAAAGGCTTTTCCCCTGAAAGAGGGAAGAACGGCCAGGAGAAAGGTGACATATTAGAGATAAGACTGGTCATTGGCAGTATTCATATTCATTTTCTTATTTCACCCATTCTCAGCAGTGGTGTGTGTGTGTGTGTGTGTGTGTGTGTGTTTGATAGATTGCTACATTTGAGGAGAAAATTGCAAACAGGATTTCTCAGAAAACTTGGACACCAAATGGGGACATCAAATATACATCTTCACAGACCCTCCCCTTCTTGGGTGGCACCGAATCATTGCAGGTATCTGTCCCTTTCCTCCAGTGTCCTCAGCATAGCAAGGGGAAAAGGACTCTGGGCTTTGAGGGCAGAGGCCCTGGGTTCAAAACCTCCCTCACCCTCTTACTTGCCTTGGGTGCATCACGTAACCTCTCAGTCGCCATATCCTAAAAAGGAGACGTTACCTGCCTCATAGGTGTATTGAAAGAATGAAAGGAGATGACAGAGGTGGAAGATCTGGCACTCGGTAAGCAATAAATGCAAGCATCCTCCTGCTCCTGCAGGCGGTGGGGAATAATATCCAGTAGTTTCTATCTCCTTCTCCTCGTCCCTATTTGTAAACTATTACCAAGGACTGCTTTTCATGTTCACAACTGAACTGTTAAGAAAAGTAGATTTGTAAGAACCAATGTAATACCTTTTGCAAAGCAGGACTCTCTATACCAACAAGGGGAGGATCATTTTGCCCCTTAAGAAACTTCCCCATGGTCTCTTTGGGGCCAATTTCTCCTTATTTAAAACACGGCCCCGGTGTCTAGAGCTGTGTTCCCTTGGGCTGGCCCCCAGGGGTGCTTGCAACTCTCATCTCTTACACCTATCCAGTCCCCAGCACCTCCTGCCTAATTTAGGGCAAATAAACGTATCCTTCGTGAAGAAGTCCCCAACCAACGTCTTACCCGAGAGTGGACTTCCCTCCGGAATGGAATACTCAGTGAGGCGGGCGGCAGCTTCAGGACCAGGAGGTCTGCCCCAGGAACATCCCCATGAACTTCTGTCTCCACTGGGGTCACCGGCTCCTTCTTTTCTTGTATTGGCGGTCAGTGGGCCGTGATATTTCCTCTCTATGGAAACTGCTCCACTCCCTCGTGTATATATATAAAAGTGACAGATCACAGGGTGGATCGTAATTCCAGACGTGGTGTCTACACTGGGATGAGATTTTGTTTAAAATACAACCAGAACCAGCTGTCCACGTCAGAGCTGACAGGCACTCTGTACCCTTGACCCCTCCTCCTGCCCTCCCACCCAGCCCTCCCATTACCTCCCACTTCCCCTCCGCCCTAGCAACTTGCTTCATTGATAAAAAGAAAAAACATCCTCTTAAACTGAGAAGCAGTTTCTTTGAAGAGTTTTATCACTGATCTTAGTTCTTACTAATTTCAGCCTTCCTGCTTCCCCATCACTCTACCCCTCCCTTTGGAAATCTGGAGCCAGGACCTGCTTTGAAAGTAGAGAAGGCAGCTTGGAGTTCATCTGTTGTCTTGTAATTCATGTGGGTTCTGATGGGCAGTGTTTATCTTGGCTACTCACAAAGCTCTATATATTTGTGTTTATCGGAGGGCTCGCAAAGGGGCAGGCACAATGTACCTAGACTTTTTGATGGGAAATCACTTGAATTTTACCCATTTTTATTCATCCATTCATCTAATATTTTTTGAGCACCTGCTGTGTGCCAGGTGTTGCCAGAGCCCTTGGGAATTCAAAGAAGTAAGTTGAGACTCCTGTTCCTATAGGGAAGGTATGTCAAAACAGCCTAATTTCAGCACAGCAAATGCCATGTTTACAAATAGGAGCATCCCTGTCCTGGAGACTTAAGACAGGTAATGTGTGTGCCCGGAGAGCAGGGCAGAGAGATTTGAGACAGGAGGTTTGGGGTGGAGAGAACCAATGAAGAGAAGGTGGGCGGGAGATGGGCAGGCAGTGGGGCCTAGGAGGCTGGATTCGCACCAGAAGTTTGGATTTTATTCTAAATGAATGGCATAGGTTACTAATGGGGGGTTAGTCAGGTGACCCCTTATTTCAGAGATGAGGATACTGAAGCTGTGGGAGAAGTGACTCCCTGGGGATCACACAGGTACTTGGAGGCAGAGTCAGGGTGAGAATCCGGGTCTCACATGAGCCCAGAGCTCTTTTCACATCCACTTTGCACCTTGGGCTTAGCTGTTACGAAGGGCCGTGCAAGACCCACGCTGTCTCCAAGCCTTCGTCCTGGACCACAGCTCCACATCCTGGACGGGCACTCCTCTCTCTTGGAATTCCTATAGATAAAGAGGCAGGTGTATTTCCCGAATTATCAAAACTCTTTAATACTCATGGGTATTCTGTGGAACAAACAGAAAGCCCTTATCAAGATGGACTCTGAGCCTGCACAGTTTCAGCCTTCCTCAGGAGACATGGGATTGGACCTCATTCCCACTCCTTCTTCCCCAGCTGTCTGGCTGGGATTCTCTTGAGATAAGTGGTCACATGAAACTAGGAGATCTAATCCAAGTTCATTCATTCATTCATATATTCTAGTCTTCTTCTTTTCCCCATTTCAGATAATTAGGCAGTAATGGAATTTGTGCAGGTTGAGGGATAGATAGTTGGAAACCTGAGTTTAACCCCCTTCTCTGCCTTTCTGAGATCTGGGATACCAGGGAGGCAGTCTTGTGAAGATACCAAATATCCCTAGAGCAGGGATTCTCAACCTTGGCGCTATTGACATTTTGGGCCAGATAATGTTGTCTGGGGGGCGGGGGCCTGTTCTGAGCATTGTAGGAAGTTTAGCAGCATCCCTCTACACGTTAGATGCCAGTAGCACACCATCCCCTGTCCAGTTGTGACAACCAAAAATGTTTCCAATATGTCTTCTGGGGGCAAAATTGCCCCCAATTAAGAATCACTGCCCTAGAGTATGGAATTTAGGAAGAGAGACAATAAACATTGGCTTCTTTTCTTGTTGATCTGTCCTGTCTCCTTTCAACTTCCTAAAAAACCTCCCCACCTGAGGCCAAAGCTCCACGGTATTGACCATTTTGTGTCAGTGGCTCATGCCTGTCCTCTGAGCCCACCGTCCCCTCTTCAGACAGAGGCAGGCTCCTCGGTTCCCACTGGCCCATCCTGGGGTGGCTTTGGTACTGGCCAACGGCTCCCACAAGCTCTCAGCATGTGAGCAGGTAGGGTTCCACACGGGGTCCTCACAGACCTGGGCAGTGGTTAAGGATGCAGCCTTAAAGGTACTTTTCCTAGAGATTGAAACCTCAAGAAGCAGTCTGTTTGCTTTACAACTTAAAAACTGCTTCTGGCTGCATCTGATGGAGGATTGCAGAGAGTCTTGGACACAAAGAGAATGGTTGGTGAGCAAAATCCCCGGGGTGTCCTTTCCAGTAAATGACGATTTCCTTCCCACCCATCACTGAAGTACACATGTGGCATTCTGCTACGCTTGAACTTTTCTCTGGCCTTGGTAAGCCATTGGTGTGTTCTATGAATTTAGCATTAGAATGTTGTTTGGGGATGTAAATACTCTGTAGACAGTATGTGGAGGGCCAAGGTGGGAAGAAAAAGCTGACTGGCTTCATATATGAATAGAAATGGCTCATCTCTCCAAAGTGCTCAAAGCACTTAACATATAATAAACCAATTATTTTCTCAACATCTGAGCTAGGGAGCAAAAGAAAAAGATAGGAAGAAGGAATTAGGGAATTGTAAGAACACCTGATTTATGGGAGAGAAGTTTTACCTTGGTATCAGGAAGGAGAGTTTTCCCCTCTGCCTCTGTTGCTGGCTTGGCTATTTGATTGGGACTGTCACTTACATCCTCTGCTCCTGTGTCCTGCTTTGTGAAAGTAGATTCGTGTACCTTCTCTATTTTTCTAATAAGGTTCATGTCAAAATAGTATTTGTAAGAACTTGATCATCCTTATTTTTCAATTCTCCCCTTATTTTCCCTTACCGATTTTTAGCATACTTGACTCCTTGGTTTTGAAGGGTGTGTGCCCATCTCCCACTGTGTTTGTGGATTTGTCAATTTCTTCCTCTAAATCTGCCCTTTTTTGCTTTCTATATTTGGAGTGCTGGGTACATACAAATGGTTCCTTTTATCATTTTACTGTAAACCCCTTTATGCCAAATAACACTTTTTGTCTTAAAATCTTCTTTGCCTGACATCAAAATAGTTATTCCAGTTTTCTGTTGGTTAACGTTTGCTTGGTGCATTTTTTCCAGTCTTTTCTGTATCAGAATTCTTTTGTAAAGCTATATATTTAAATTAAAAAAATCTAATTTAACAGTGTCTGTTTTAACCAAGGACTTTAGCACATTCATGCTAATAGTGATCACTGATGGATTTGGATTATTTTCTGCCGTCTTATATTGTACTTTCTACTTACCCTTTTTTTTTTTCTTTTCTTCTATTTATTTCTGTTTCTCCTTTTCTGTCTTCTGTTGGATTGATTAATTCTACATTTTCATCTTTCCCTCTATTAATTTATAACACAAACATTTAAAGCTACAATTTTTCCTCTAAGCACTGCTTTTGCTGCACCCCACAGAAAATGAGCAGAGCCACTTTTAACTGGTAATTGTTCTAGTCTGTTGGGCAGGGGAGTCCCTTGCTTTGACTCATGTTTCTCCCAACTTGCAGGACTGATTTAGTCCTAACTAAGAGTTAGTCCTTTTGCAGGAATAGCATTCCCATTACACTGGAGTTATTTCCATCCTTTCTGATACAGGTTCTCCAGCACTTTTTCCTATGGGCCCATCAGAAATAGTTTTTGTTGGACTTTGCATCCACCTTGAAACCAGCAGCACTGGAAACAGGTGGGGAAATTTCCGGCCTGTCTCCACATCCAGGTGCACTGGTGATTTATCAGACAATTTATGGTCCTCTGTAATGGACTTTTGGTGGCTGATTGATTCATAGCGCAAAGCTCCTGGAGGCCACTGGCAAGATGCAGCTGCCTCTATTAGGGTCGCATGAAACAGAGAATCAAAAGCTTTCTATCTCTCTCCTGGGAAGGGAGGACATGTGCCCTCTTGGATAGCATTGCGTGGCTGTACCACTGCCACTGTCCCAAACTTGGCCCAATCACAGTGGTCTATTTACTTGATGTGTAGACAAAGTGATCAATACCAACAGAACCACTTAGAAGATATAAGTTTTCTCCAGTAACAAAGGAAAGTATGGAATCTGTGAATAATGAGGATCAACTGCATGTGATGAATGAGTGAATGAAAACAGGAAACCAGAAGCTATGACTGAAAGTTTTCTGAAAGTAACACCAAGTGCCCTTTACCTTTTTGCCTCTCTTGTGGCATAATAGAAAGAACACGAGAGAAATAAGAACTTTTGATTTGGGCAAGACGGCGGACTGCAACAACCTAAAACCTCCAACTACGAACACAGAAATTCTGGATAAAAATACATCATTTTTAAATGCATTTTAAATGCATCATTTAAATGCAAGGAAAAAGGGAGGTGGATGGTATCCTTTAGTACGAGGACGTGAGGGACTAAAAATCAAAGTGATAAACACATAAGCTCCTGCCACATTTGCTCTCGGGGAAGATTACTAGTCCTAGTATTCAGAGACATCGATTTTAACAACTGCGTGGGATCAGGGGCAAGGGGCTTGGAGCCATGCAAGATTAGTTGTTAGAACCCAGACCCTTGCAAAAAGCTCTCTACAGGAGCACAGCCTCCATGAGATAAATTAATGTGGAAATGAAAAGAACTTCATAATGCCTTAAATGCAAAATTGGCTCCTTGTGAGAACTGAATGAATTAGTGAAATTAGGATATTTGGTTAGAATGGTAGAATCTTTTTCCCCGTGATTTGGAAGGCTGTGCTAAATAGTCAACACTTCTGGGGTTGTACAATGGGAGTTCCTTATCACAATTTTTCTAAGGAAAGTTTGCTCTGACTCTGTCCTGTATGGTAGCCACTTGCCACATGTGGCTGGCAAACACTTGAACTGTGATTAATCTAAATAGAGATGGGCTCTGAGTGTAAAACACACACTGGCTTTCAAAGACTTACTTAGTACAAAAAAATATAAATATCTCATAATTTTTTATATCCTTT